CTCCATCATTGGAGAAATATGTATTCATCCATCCGACGAAATTTCAAACCCGCAACCGGAACTAGACATCGAGAAAATAAATGCGGAAAATCCTCTATTTCGCGTGACGAACCTCGAGAAAGCATGGGATCAAATGGGTACGGCGGGTTGAAATATCTCTCTTATTCACCCCGGTACCCCATTGTTTTTTGTCGCCATCACATTGAACACATCATTCCCCATATCTTCAAATTTTTTCAAATTTTTCTTGAGTTCCTAGGGGGTTGAAACGTTCAATTTAATCAAAACTCCATAAGAGGCCGTGTATAAGATTGATTTTGTTTATTTAATTTCTCGATATCCATAAGTTCTAAAATTTTAAAATTGTCACCGATGTTCACCATCTGTCTAATACTATTAATTTAAAAAATTATAACTTTGTTGGTGAATGTCAATTTTCAAGGTCATCACCAAATTCACTTGGCACCCTTAAAGGTCCAGAGCCTTTTTTGGTAATATTCTGGCTCTATTTCTCTTTCCGCTCTGTGCCCCAGCCGTCTCTCATTGAGACAAACTCGTTAATATACCAAGATTAATTTTAATTTTCTATTCTAATTTGGAGTTGTTACTTTCGCTATTTACCGAAATTTCGGCCCGGTCGGGCCTCGAAGCTTTCAATCGAAATGAATGTTGTCTGAAATTTTATTCATTCATTGATTTCAACTATTCGGCTATTTTCAGTTAGAGAAATGACGCAAAGGACCGGTTGTACCAAGCCCTGTTAACGAAATAAATCGTCAGAATAACCAAATAAATCACCAGTTCTGGAAATCCCTAGCCTTTTCTAGATTTTTCTATAGAATTTTTTTTACATTAAAGAAGGGAATTTATATAGCGTTCCACATCTTTGTGGCGTCATAGGAAATGAGCGGATGGGATTTGGATGAGGTAGGAAGGGAAACGGGATTATTCTCAATAACTAGAACATTTTTACTGAAGAAAAATGGATAGGCCAGACCGGGATTTGAACCCGGGAGCTTCCGATTATGCATCGGGTGCTCTTCCAAACCGCTGAAAACTGAGCACTTGTCAAAATCGACTTGAACCGTTTTACCGCTTCACTGCCGAGTCCTCATAACATTCATGGACAGCATAAATCGAAGCAATTTACCCCATGATAATCCTGGCAAAGTTAAACCTCTGAAGTTTCCCGAAGACATGATTCAATTTTTTTTAACACAATGTTGGGTTCAACAGCGTCCGAATAAATAACATCAGAACAGCTCCATTAATTCCTTTTATTCCACAATAAAAAAAAATCAAAATACAAACGTTAATTTGGTGACAGTAAATAAACCCACGTCGTTGCGTGAGGGACACATCGAAGTTTCGATAGCGTTCGGCGTCAACCACTTGTTTATAGATGCAAGTCCCGACCCATTGATAAGCACTTGAGCAGCAGGAGACATGGTAATTTCTAGCCCAGTCTAGTCACTCCTGCGGCACTAGTACTTAGGAACAGGGCAGGATCAATCGCTCCCTGAGTATTAAAAATATTACTCAAGCACAATTCCATCGAATTAATCGTCATCAGCGTGATACAAGTACTAAACATGATGTGCGCAGGTATGAATTCACTCGGGAATGACGAATAAGCAGTGGACAGTCCGGGCCCTCATTGAACCGACCTCGGCTGGCCATTGAACACCCGCCTACGTCTTTCCATTCATTTACCATTTTATTTCTTGGGCGTTTATACACTCATCAGTTGATTTTCGTTCATGTTGCTGATTTTTCTGTACAATTTATTCTCTTTGGATGTTCTGTGAAAATTCCTCGGCACAAATTTTTCCATTTTTTCCACCGGATTTTTCCTCTTTTCGTTACGAAGTTTAAAATAAAATGAAAAAGGGGAATATTTGGTGGTAAAGTGGTAAAACGGTTCAAGTTGATTTTGACTATTCGTCACTTTTCAACGAATATCTCGCAATCTAAGGCAGATAGCGAAATTTCTGTTATAACAGTTCTTAGAGGGCGGATTGAGAGCTGCAAAAAAGATTTTCATTAAAATTTCGCTATCTCTCTTAGATTCGAAGACATTCCTCGAAAACTCAGAGCTAAGTCCAGTTAAATCGTTTTACCACTTCGCTACTGAATTTCTGTGGAAATAATAACGGAATTGTTCAGAAAGATGAAAATCTATCGGTTTTTTTCTATACAATAATGTCTATTTTTCTAGAATTAAAAAAATTTTTTTTTTCAAATTAATTCAATTGATATCATATGATAATAAATTGTGCAGAAAGATAAAAGATTTTACTATCATTCTAAATTTTTTCATATGTATCACCATAAACTCTTCCCTGAAATCATTCATTTTCCTTTTGATTCTCATTACTGCAAATTGACGAGAATTAAGTTCAGTGAATTGAAATCTGCCTTCAAAGAACAGAGCCTTCAAATTTATGCAGAAACAATATCAACAAATAAATCGCGTAGAAAAATCCGCATCTGCTGATTTTTTTCTACAAAAAAATTGCCATTTTTCTAGCATTCTAAGTACTTTCATACGTGTTAAATTCCCCTCTGAAAGAATTCCTTTCTGTTTTCCCTCTAATGATTTCATGAATATAAACGAAACATTGAAGCCAACGATTTCAATTTCTATTTTTTTTCGACAAAATAATTTCTGTCTTTCTCGTTTCACACGTGTTGAATTCCCCCTGAAATAATTCCTCTCTGTTTTCCCTCTAATGATTCCATGAATATAAACGAAACATTGAAGCCAACGATTTCAATTTCTATTTTTTTTCGACAAAATAATTTCTGTCTTTCTCGTTTCACACGTGTTGAATTCCCCCTGAAATAATTCCTCTCTGTTCTCCCTCTAATTATTCCATAAATATAAACGAAACGTTGAAAGCAATGATTCCAATTTCCCTGAAAACATAATATGCAATAATCCGTGGCGAATGTCAGTTAGTGGTGAGCAGTGAGATATTCCCCTGAATGAGCCTCTCTGTGCTCGTTTCCTTCTGTCATCACCACCCAAATCTCCAGTGGCTCAGCAACTCCCACTGTGCAACCACTGCAAAATGTATTCTTTATGCCT